TGCTGCATTAAGGTGGACATAAGAAAAGCTTATGACTCAGTTGAACGGCCTTTTTTAAAGATGATACTGCTAGAGTTTGGAATGTCTGTGAAGTTTGTGCAGTTGATAATGGAGTGTGTGACCACTGTCAGCTACTCCTTGCTACAGAATGGGGGCTTGACAGCTAAATTCCAAGGAAAGAAGGGGTTAAGACAAGGAGACCCAATGTCTCCTTATCTGTTTGTTTTGGTGATGGAGTACCTGAACAGGGCTTTGAAAAGCTTGAAGTCCAATCCAGACTTTAACTACCATCCAAGGTGCTCCAGAAACAGCATCACCCACATATGTTTTGCTGATGATTTGATTCTATGTTGTAGAGCAGATAAGGTTTCTATCAACTTATTATTGGAAAGATTCAATCATTTCTCTGTCACGATCCGGATTTTCCACCGTCGGGATCGTGATGGTGTCTAACTATTGAATGCTAGGCAAGCCAACAGATACGATTCTAAAACATTAATCATTAACAAAAACAGTAATAAATATTAATTAAAGGTAAACAGATATAAAGTGCGGAAATTTTATAACAATTCAAAACTCTAAAACATGACTACCCCATTGATCTGGTGTCACAATCCACGAACTTCTAAGAATTTCTACAAATACTGGTTTAAAGAAAAATACATCTGTTTTTCGGAATGAAAGAAAACAGGAACTAAGATAGAGGGAAGGGGACTCTAGAGTCTGCGAACGCCGGCAGATCTACCTTGGGTATCCTGTTGACTGAAGGCAGCAACCTCAACCTCTGATCAGTATGGTCCAGTACCGGGATCTACACAGAAAGTTCAGAGTGTTGTATCAGTACAACCGACCCCATGTACTGGTAAGTGTCGAGCCTAACCTCGGCGAAGAAGTGACGAGGCTAGGACACGACAAACAACATAAACCTGTGCAGTTAAATAATATACTAACAAAATAACAAGTAATAATAGCTAAGCATAAATGAACCGGAAGGGGCAACATGCTACGGGGGTTCCAACATACAGAATTACATCAGTAAAGGAATCTAAACAGCTAGTACACTTGAACCGATAACAACAAATAAACACAGCAAACAGAAAATGCACGACATCACCCTTCGTGCTTTTACTCTCAATCCTCACCATGCAATCAATAATAGAAATGTGCAGGGCATCACCCTTTGTGCTTTATCACTCTTCCTCACCATATGAATAATAGAAATGTGCACGGCATCACCCTTCGTGCTTTATCACTCTTCCTCACCATATGAATAATATAAATATGCACGGCATCACCCTTCGTGCTTTACTACTCTTCCTCACCATATGAATAATAGAAATGTGCACGACATCACCCTTCGTGCTTTATCACTCTTTCTCACAATATGAATAATATAAATGTGCACGGCATCACCCTTCGTGCTTTATCACTCTTCCTCACCATATGAATAATATAAATGTGCGCGACATCACCCTTCGTGCTTTACCACTCTTCCTCACCATAAGAAACAACAGAAACAATAACAACCCCACAAGGGCATCATAATCAAACAACTTCGTTTCATCACTTAATTTCACAATAGAAATCTCAACTGGAGCCAATACTCAACCAATATCCAAAACCAGGAAAAACATAATAAGACTCCTTTAACATGAGTAATAACTAGTTTAAGCAGGAAGAATACATACAAAGAAACACAACGATCACAAGTATAAGACTCACTCGCATGCTATGAACAGACAACGACGTATAGATACTCGTCACCACACCTATACGTCGTACTTAACAACTCAACAAGTAGCAAATAAGGCAAAAACACCTAATCCCTCAAGCTAAGGTTAGCCACGACACTTACCTTGATTCCACGTCCAAACTCAAGCCTTAAATACCGCTTTTCCCTTAGTTTCCACTTCAAATCCGCTCGTATCTATGCATAATTAACTTATTAACATCAATTAATGCCAAAGAAACTAATTCGAATGCATGATTATGGATTTTCCAACATTTTTCCCAAAAAGTCAAAAATCGACCCCGGGCCTGCTTGGTCAAAATTCGAATTTCGGACCAAAACCCGATTACCCATTCACCCCCGAGCCCGGATATACAATTGGTTTTGGAACCCGACCTCAATTTGAGGTGTAAATCCCCAAATTTCAAAATTCCTAAATTCTACCCAAAAACACCCAATTTCCTATGAAAACCCTAGATTTTGTGATGAAATCTTGTAAAAAGATGAAATAGATTGAAGGAAATGAGTTAAGAATCATTTACCTATGATTTGGGGAAGAACTTGCTCTAGAAAAGTCGCCTCTTGGAGTTTAGGTTTTGAAAATTTGAAGAATGAATGAAAAATCTCGTCCAAGACTCTTTTACTCAGCTGCAGATGTCGCATCTGCAACCTGAGCTTCGTATTTGCGAAGATCGCAAATGTGAGGAAAGTATCACAAATGCGACCCCCTTACATTCCTGCTGCCTTTGCAAATGCAAAGGAATGTTCGCAAATGCGAACATGATCCTCCGCAAATGCGACTGAATGATCGCATTTGCGACCAATACCCCTCTCAGCTTTACTTCGCAAATGCGAAGAGTTCTCCGCAATTGCGAAGACTATTGGCCCAGCTACTCTTCGCATTTGCAATGAGTGGCTCGCAATTGCAACACTGTCAGGCTTCGCAAATGTGAACTCTGGTCTCGCAATTGCGAGATCAGAGGCCAACACCAGAACTGAATACCTGCAATATTTTTTTCCCAAGTCTAAAACACGCCGAAGCCTATCCAAAAACTCACCCGAACCCTCAAGGCTCCAAACCAAACATGCACACAAGTCTTAGAACATCATACGAACTTGTTCATGTGATCAAATCGCCAAAATAACACTTAAAACTATGAATTCAACCCCAAAACACATGAAATTTTCAAGATAGATTCAAACTTCATATTTTCTCAACTAAAGGTCTGAATCACGTCAAATTACTTTCGTTTTTCACCAAATATCACAGATAAGGTTAAAATATTATAACGGACCTGTACCGGGCTCCGGAACCAAAATACGAGCCCGATACCAAGGCAACAAGTTCAAACATTATTCCATTTCTAAAAACTATTATATTTTTCAGTAAACAATTTTCTTCAAAAATTCATTTCTCGGGCTAGGGACCTCGGAATTCGATTCCGGGCATACGCCCAGGTTCTATATTTTACTACGGACCCTCCGGGACCGTCAAATGATGGGTCCGGGTCCATTTACTAAAAATATTGACTGAAGTCAACTTAAATCAATTTTTAAAGGCAAACTCAATATTTTTCTTAATTTTCACATAAAGGCATTTCGAAAACGCGCTCGGACTGTGCACGTAAATCGAGAAAGAAGAAAATGAGGTTGTGAAGACTTGGAACCCCGAATTGGGTCCTAAAACATGAGATGACCTTTGGGTCATCACATCTGAGGTGTCAGGTTTTAAGGCTAATATAGAGAAGAGTGCTCTATACGTTGCTGGTGTCACAAAGGAATTCAAAGAAATGATTTTAGAAGTGATGCAATTCACACTAGGGGAACTACCATTTAAATATCTTGGAGTACCATTGTCTTCAAAGAAATTGACTGTTCAACAATGTATGTCATTGATTGAGAAGATCACTACTAGGATTAACTGTTGGACTGCCACGTTCCTCTCATACGGTGGAAGGCTTCAACTACTAAGAGTGTGATATTTGAAATGTAGATATATTGGGTGCAGGTGTTTCTATTGCCAAAGAAGATTATCAAGCTAATAGTTACAGCATGCAGAACCTTCCTTTGGACAGGAAGTAGTGAACCATCTAAGAGAGCCTTAATTGCATGGGACACAATTTGTATGCCATTCTCAGCAGGTGGACTAAATGTTTTGGATATTCATCTATGGAATAAGGCTGCTTTGTGCAAACTGTTATGGGCTATTAGTGAAAAGAAGGACATCCTGTGGATCCAATGGATCCATAGCTTCTACATTAAAGAGCAAAATGTCATTACAATGGATACTCCTAAACAGGCATGTTGGCTTGTCAGGAAGATTTTAATATAAGGACTGGTTCATGGAAAAGCACCAGCTGCTGAATTGAGCATATACTATAAGCAAGGGAAGTTCAGCATCAAGCAGCTATATATTGCTATGAGACCTTAGTATCAGAAGAGTCCTTGGAAGAGAGTAACAACAGGATCCAAAGCAATGCCAAAACATAAGTTCATACTATGGTTGGCATTACATCGGAGATTAGTCACGGTTGATCGACTAAGGAGATGGGGAATATCAGTAGCAAGCGACTGTGTACTATGTGGAAAGAGTGTGGAGGAGACAATGGAACATATGATGTTTGTATGTGATTACTCCGGAACAATATGGGCTACATTACTGCGGTGGATAGGAGGAAAACATCAAATTGGTAGCTGGAAAGAGGAAATTGAATGGATAAAAAGAAGGACTGCCAGTAAAGTTAGAGGTGATATACTAATATTCCTATTTACAGTAGTGGTCTACCACGTATGGACAGAGAGAAATCAAAGAAGGTTCCAAGAAAAGATGAAGGCTTACACTCATAGATTAAAGACATTGTGCTGGAATTGCACATCAGAGGGCAGAGTGAAGCAAAGTGGCGCAAAAAGCGGGAAAGACTAAAGAATTTTCCTAGTTAAAATGAGTTAATTGTAAATGTAGTAGGAAATGTGTTATCCGTTTAGTTAGAAAGTTTTTAGAATAGGGTCCAGCTCTAGAGTCCAAATGAACTAGCGGATGTAAATATTTATACTTAGTTAAATAAAATTTTTGACAGTTTAACCAAAAAAAATATATGCAAGTACTCTAACGATATCGTCGTTATTACAAAAATTATTTAAGACGAGATGGTGCCAAATAAGAAGGAAAAGAGGACTATTCCATTGTTAAAACAATCATTAATGTGAACGATGTAAGTATATTATGCACAATTGCTTTTCAGTTTTCACCTTATATCCAAACCCTCTAAAACCCTTTTCCTCTCTTCTTTGTCAAGACTAGGCTGTCCAAATCCCCAGTTCTCTCTGTCGATCACAAAGGCATTTCTTCATCTTCCACCTCCGGCCACTTCCCAGCTAAAATGCCGCCGTCTAAAGGCAAAGGAAAGGGGAAAAAGAAAGGTAAATCCAAAAAAACAAAAAACAGAGCTCCAGACGCAACATGCAACTGCATTTTCCGAAGAGAAATCATCATTAATATCCTTTCTCGTCTCCCTGTGAAGACCCTTATACAATTCAGGTGCGTTTGCAAGCCATGGCGAAAACTCATTTCCAAACCCAAATTCATAGCCACCCATTTCCGCCATTCCTCTTCTTTGCAGCCCAGTACCGGTTCTTCACCCGTTCTTTTACACACTCGCCATCTCAAGTCGTATGATCATCTACTCTCACTAATCAACCTGTCCTCTGAGTCATCATCAGTTGTGGAACTTGATAACCCTTTCCCTTTCTTCTTGCAAAGTATGGTGGTTGTGGGTTCTTGCAATGGCATTGTGTGCCTTTGTCAGCCACCTTGGGGTGATGTCATTACTCTTTGGAACCCAGCTATGAGGCAGTCTAGGACTGTGCCGCTTTCGAAACGCGAACCCATTATGGAAGCGCATTCTTCTGTTTCCATCGGGTTGGCGTACGATTCACAAGAGAATGACTTCTTGGTCTTGAGTCTTAAGCGTTTCGGACCAGAAACTGTGATTGCGGATGAAGTGGAAATGTTTTCAACCATGAGTTTCAGCTGGGAGAGGGTGCCAAATGAGGTGGGGTTTCGAGTTCTTGGGCTTTCTTGCAATCTGATCATTAAAGGGGTGCCTTATTGGAGTGCTCTGCTTGAGGATGCGTATGGATCACGTGAGGTATTGGTGTGTTTTGATCTGAGTAAGAAAGTATTTGACAAGTTACCTATGCCTGGAATGAGACTGGAGACTAAGGGGTATCTTGTGAATTTGGAGGATTCTCTTGGTATGTTAATGTGGGAGAAAACAGACAAATATAATGTTGATATTTGGGTAATGGATGATGAAGATGGTTGGAGCAAGAAATGCAATGTTGGAGTGTTATTCGGGTTCGACAAAATTATTGGCTGTTTGAGGAATGGTAACATTGTTGCTGAGGATGAGAATGGCGTGTTCTTCCTCTTTGATCCGGTGACTAGTTCTGTTAAGGCAAAAGTGTGCATCGATAATGCTAATAGCGGTTCGTCCATGATTTTCAACTATTCAGAGAGCTTAGTTCTGATTGAAGGGATGCTACCAGTTAAGAAGCAAGCTGCTAGAGATAAATTAGCACGTGAAAACCTCCTAAAGTGCGGTGATCAACTTTTGTCTTTTCAATTATAACTTAAGTTGCTATGTGCTTGCTTTGTGTTGATTGTCAAGTCTGATCCCATTTTGAGATGTTGCACTTTTGTTTTGTTCTTATCCTTATGTGCTTATGTGTATGTTATGGGCACCTGGTGAAATAAAGCAGATTGACTGTGAATCTGTGATGCATTAATTTACTACGTGAACTAACTCTGTGGTCGTTTTTACTTAACTCTACGCAATTAGTGGAGATGCTTGTCAGTTGCTTCTGTGGTTCTGGAAAGCAAATATTGCCAATTAACAAGTTTTCTTTTCATCTTCCATCTAAGAAAGTGTATTTTTGTAAATAGCTCTTATTTTCTGTGGTGTGGAATCAGTCACAATATAAATGTCTCTCACTGTATGCAATTCTCTTATTTTCCCAGTCCAATTTTATGGTTAGTCAGCCAAACAACTTCTTGGATTACTAGTTGAAATTGGTGGAAATAAGGGGAATAAATAGAGATGCCACACGGTATTGCAACTCAAAATAAGAGAAACTCTCTTTTAGGGTGGCTTACATGTGCACATAGAAGTATGAAAGAAGAGCTAAAATGCTTCCTTTTCGAGTCCCACTTGAAAACTATTTTCTCCCTTTCATGTCTTTCATAGTGGGAATTGTTTGAAAAGATGTAGGCTTGGCTTCAAAGATGCATCGTGTGTGACGAGAGTGTTTCCAGAAGATCTCAACTTCCTGTTCATCCCATTTATTTTCTGACAATACAAGATCTTCCTTTTTGTCAACAGAAACATTTAAATGATCAGAGAAACTTTTCAGCTTTCGTAGTGTTTGCTTGTTGGAGCATCAGTTATGTTGAGGTCGATATCCAATGACTTCATTATGAAGAGACAACTAGGTCAGTAGACATAGTAATATGATTGCTAGATCCTTCAAGTTATATATCTATCTGCAGATATATAAATTTCTATTTGTTGACACTTGACACTGTAAAACTCTGAGGTAGTTTGTTCCATAAGCATTATAACAATTACTTGTAAGGAAGAGCAGAAAAACATAGTTTCACTGAAATAATGCATTTGGATTGCTGGATCGCTCTAACTAACAGAACCAAGTCTTCAAAAGAAAAGAAAAAACTAATAAAACCATGTCCTATTGGTGATTGCAACAGTTCTGTTACCTATCTAGTCAATTGAGCCAGATGTTTTGCGCTTTCTGTTTCTGGTGCTCTTTTTCTTGTTTTTGGTGAGTGTTTTCAAAAAAAATCTTCATTCCTGATCCATGAACTTTTATACTTGAATATGCAAGTACAGATGTTAGTCTTATAGATGTTAGTGTTGATGAACTAAAGTTTATAATCAATGGAAGGCTTGGCTACTTGTGTCATTGCTAACCATATTGGACGAATGTGCACTCTCTTAATGTAGTGCGACACATCCATATCTTTGCTTTTGATAGCTCAAAGATATAGCTTTAGTTTGACAGCCAGTGTAAGAGGTTCTCTCTTCATTTAATTATTTGCTCCTTCAAGTTGCAATCTTTCGGCCTTCTCACCTTGAATTTCCAGTTTTGTGTTTCAATTGCTCATAAACTTCCTAGTCTTGCTATCCCGTCCTCGTCTTTCCTCCTTGGTTCACTTGTGTCTTGCAGTCTTTAATAAATGAATTGACTTGTAGTTACTTTGGGATCATATAAACCTGAAATTATTTTTCTTGATAATGTAGGGCTGGCATGAATATAAAGGCCTCTACCACTTGACCCTCAGAAGCTTGACTTGGCTATACAAAAGACATTTTGGCTGCCCCTTTTTGCTAACATCGGAGATGGCATGAAAAACTTTTTCACATACTTTTAGTTAGGAAATACTAGCAATGTATGTAGTTCCTGGTCCCTCTCATGTTCATATTACAGCGTATAATTCGTCTCGGCTACTTTGTATCAGACTCTCAACTATTTTGCACTGATCAACTTGTGCTTGAGTAAGCAATGGTAGGTTTATGTTTGCGTCATAAGGTCTTACAGTGTGTTCCATGTGAGTGTCTTCACTCAATTTTTGTTCCTTCCCATAAGTAATTTTCTTTTTTATTCATAATTCCTTCCAAATGTGGACTCTGGTGCGACTTGAATGTTCTTTTTGGTTTGTAATTCTTTGCATATGTGGACTCTGGTGCGACTTGAATAGAGTTTCTAAATAGAAAGAGTTTTAAGGTAGGGGTAAGGTTTGCGTACGGGAGAAATTCAAAAATAGCCAGATTTACAAGTGGTCGTTCAAAAATAGCCCAGTTTCAAAAGTAATCGAATCTAGCCACTTTTCATGTAAAGATTAATCTGAGCGAAAACACTGTTCAAAACCCAGAAAATACGCCAGTATATTATGCTGGAGTTCCAGCATACTTATCCTGGAACTCCAGTATATTATGCTGGAGTTCCACGATAAGTATGGTGGAACTCCAGCATAATATGATGGAGTTCCAGCATAAGTACACTAGAACTCCAGCATAATATACTGGAGTTCCAGCAAAGTATAATGGTCCAGTATAATATGCTGGAAGTTCATACACAAGTGCTCGAATCTTCAGTATATTATGCTGGAACTTTCCGTGTGTTGGAGTTCCAGCATAATATGCTGGAAGTTCATACACAGGTGCATCGAACTCCAGTATATTATGTTGGACCGGTCTCTGTTGCAGCAAAATAGTGGCTATTTTTCATTGACTTGGTAAACGCTGGCTATTTTTGAATGACCTGTCCGAAAACTGGCTAGACCGTGCTATTTTAACTTTGCGTACACATTACTCTTCCAGACTCTACTTGTGGGATTATATAGATGTCACGCCATTCACTAAAACTAGGATAGTTTTGAAATAGAGAAAGGTGTTTATCATCTTTAAACGGATTAAAAAAAAAAAAAACTGTGTCATGTAAAATGACAAAAAGAGTATACTGTAAAGCCTAAGTCATTGATCAACCAAATCTCGCGTTAACCTTACAAAATTAATATAATGACTGTTACAAATAAATTGTCTCAGTTGATTATATTATAGTTTGGCACAAACCTTATCACGTGTGAACAACCTGGGTGGCTGGGTTAGAAGAGAATAACAACAGTCGTAATAAATATAGTTAAATCTCTCTATAATAGCTTTATTTGTTTAGAATTGTTTTGGTTATTATCGAAAAGTGCTATTATAAAGAACATATATTATAACATAGCGTAAAAATTAATTCCATAAAAAACTTGATTTTTATTGACTATATAAACTTATATCAAGACAAATTTTTATATCCACGCGTGGGCGTGAAACTTACCAGCTAAGCCAAGCTGAAATATATATCAGCAAACCGTCAGCGCACCACAAATCAAAGACCGCAAAATCGCCGATCACACCGCCACGACGATCTGATTCTGTCAATTGGCGTCAACAATAATACGACTTCGCTTTGATCCCGAAACCCTAACCCGTTGCTCGATCTCTATCTCGGTGGAAAGGATGAGTGAAGAAGGCGGGAAAAACAGGGCCTCTCCGACCACCGGCGAACCGTTGCCGCCAAACTATTACTACGGTACGTTTCAAGGAGTGGCCAATAATCCTGTATAGGTCAAAATCTGACCAGTGTGGTTGTTGCATTTTATGGAATGACAAGGGGTCGATAAGCCGTAATCACGCCCACGGGGCGTGATAGCAAAGAACACCTCGGCCATTGTCGGGGTCAAACCGTCTGAAAGCTTATATCGCAGAACAAGCCGTGTTAGGGCGAGCGGTGAAGAATACAATCATAAGAAAGTACGCTAGTCAAAGACCATTGGATAAAAGGAAAAATTATCTCTCTCTCTCTCTCTATATATATATATGGGGAGTTGAGCCCAGAGAAAAGGGGGGGATTCCTTCGATAGTCATCACTATGGAATCAACAAGGGAAATCTCTTGATCATCAACAGTTCCCTCTCTTCTCCTTCTTTGCTTCTACGATTATGATGCATACCTGTCACAAATGTAAGCCTATCATCCACATCTGATGTAATGATAATTATCTTAAGAAATAATACATTATTGTTTTTCTTCGATGTTTGTACTCAATATACTTGGATCTAGAGTTAATTATGTTTGGCTAAGATTTACCTTCTGTATCTCTGATAATTAGTTTAACAAAAAAGGCTCAACGCTTTTTTTGGTCAAACAATTTGGCGCCGTTTGTGGGGATTTCTTAGCCAAATTTCTTAGTTTCCTTTAGATCTAGAACTGGCAAAATGTCACTACCCCCTCGAAAGAGCGGTAAGTAAGCCTTCGAGAAACGGTACCAATCAAGGTCAGGCTGCTACATAAAGTAGAAGTTATAACCAATGTCTATGCAAAACCCACGTCTCGCCTGTAGCGATAGGTTTGGCACGACATATGCACGTTCAAAATAGGATCACGGTCATCTGGCATGACCACAGCCCCATTTGACGTATTTACCTTATATATTGACCCGCATTCCCACTCCATGGGAGGGGACGGCAGCTTGTTGCGCGATCTTTTGAAAGAATGGCCACATCCTGCCCTATTTTCACATTCCCCCACACACTGAATGGTCTATGAACGAAGTATGACATGTTTCCGTTGTTGGTACAAATCGGACGAGATCGGACCGGGGCTCGATTTCAACACTTCAGCGAGTGAGGTGGGCCCAATCCATGCTAAGCCTAGACGTTGTTAACGATGGAGCCGAACATGGCCGCCAAATCTAAAGCTACCATTCGAGCACCAGGCGGAGCGAGTAACACTACAACGTCACTCCTTCTTTCACTGACTCGTTGGGTCGAGGTAACGGAAAATTTCATTTTGGTTTATCTTCACTCTTTCGTTGGTTCAAACAGGAATGTGAGCACTCGCATGGGCAAGTAAGCAAAGGAGCATTCCAAGTAGAAACAATGGAAGGAAAACTACTACAAAATAATTGGAATGTCGCCCACCTCAAATACTTCAATTTCTGAAAAAGGACACCCTTCAAGTCGTACCCTTTTTCCTCACCCGGACTTTGTCCCAATTGGGTCTTCTCGGGAGATTTCTAACGAGGTGACGAAAGGGACGTCTCGAAGTTCAAGTATGATTCATCACCCCGCCTGCCGACTGCTTCCCTAGGCCAGGCGATGAAGGGACTAGATACATGGAAACTTCTCCAATATATGTATGAAACGAACATGTATAGCATTCTCCAGTAAATGAAATAGAGCAACATTTTGTACTCTCCACCAAGGTATTCTCCAATACAAGCGAAGTTAAGCAAACTAGGACTCACTCAGGAAGCACACAAAAGCAAACTGGAACTCACCCAGGAAATGCATAGTATATCCAATGCAAGCGAAGTTAAGCAAACTGGAACCCACCCAGGAAGCGCACAAAAGCAAACTGGGACTTACCCAGGGAACACCCAATTTTCTCCAGTAAAAATAAAATCGAGCACGCCAGGACTCACCCTGACGTACGCATAAACAGTACGGCGACTTGTAAAATTCTCCAAAAATCTACTGTCACGACCCAATTCCCACCCGGTCGTGATGGCGCCTCTCGTGAATACAAGGCCAGCCAACAGAATAATCAACACTGCTTTTGAGAATTTCTTAGCATAATAGGTTTAAACCATAGATACTGATTAATCATAAGTACGGAAATAAACGTAACATAACAGGAAAAAACCATCCCAAACTCAGCCCGATGATCGGGGTGTCACAAGTCACGAGCTACTACAGAGTTGATGAAAATACTACAAGTCTGGAAACATAGTCTGAAGATGAATAAAATATGCAGAAGATAAGGAAGAAACGGGGCTGTGGACGTCGACAGCTACCTCGTCTCTCCTAGTCCGCCTGGTCTGGAAGGAAATCAACGCTCAGGTACGAACTCAGCAGTGCCTGTCTCTACACACATGGTGCAAGAAGTAATGTGAGTACTCCGACCCAGTGAGTAATAAAATTAAATAACGACTGAGAACATAAAATCCCACAAGGGCACAAATAATGCTATCTCAAGCAGCAACATCAGATAAACAGTAGAAACCAGTGAAATATAGGAAGAAAATCTTTTTGAAAACAGTTAAAAATCAATCATACTCAACCAGTAAGTCAGCCATTGTTACCTGACCGGTCAGCCATTGTTACCTGACCAAACGCGTATTACAGTGCCATTGTTACCACTGGTCAGTCATTGTTACCTGACTGGTCAGTCATTGTTACCTGACCAAACGCGTATAACAGTGTCATTGTTACCACTGTTCAATATTTAAATCACTCTAGATGGGTACCCGCACTCACTGTGGGTGTGCAGACTCCGGAGGGGCTCCTACAGCCCAAGCGCTATCAACAAGGCCTGAAAGCCTGAACAGTATCAATACGAGGCCTGAAAGCCTCCTCACCTCACTCATCATGCCCTCACATAAGGCCCTAGGCCTCAATCAGTCCAGAAATAGTCAACATCCCCTCGGGCAACAGTAAAGCAATAATACTCAGCTTAAACAATAGTTCAAATATCAGTTTAAAACTCCAAGTTTGAGTAAATATGGCTGAGTTCAAGAAACGGTGTAAATCACATGGACTGAGTTCAAATAATATTTCAAACAGTGAGAAAAACAGTGCTGATAGTTCATAAAGAGTTCAAACAGTCCGCAATAAGCCCCAAATATGGCAATAAGCCCAAATCATAGTGAAAACAACAAGTCATTGCTAATACGCGGTAAAATATCATCCGAACTGGACCAAGTCACAGTCCCCAATAGTAAATGACCTCGCGCTCGTCATGGAACGCGTGTCTCATCTCAACATAGCACCAAGTTGTGCAAATCCGGGGTTTTTCAAACCCTCAGAACATCATTTAAAATCATTACTCACCTCTAGCCGGTCAAAGTCTAGCTCGCTATGCCTTTTCCCCTCGAATCGACCTCCTCGCGCGTCGAATTTGATCAAAACCACAAGGAATACATCACAATAGGCTAATGGGTCATAACCCAAT